AATTCTGTTATAAGTTGTTTGTAAGGCAGCAATTTGGTGTCTCTTGTTTCCCAATCTCCTCTTAATTGATAAACCACTAGCATAGAATCTCCAAAGACCTTGAGTTTCTTAACTTTCATATCCACAGCAGCTTGGATACCCATAGAACATGCTTCATACTCAGCCATATTATGCGTGCAGTCGAAACATAATCTAGCGGTAAGAGGAAACAAATTTCCTTYGGGWGYTATTAATATTGCCCCTATCCCATGACCTAGCTCGTTAGARGCACCATCAAACATCATAGTCCATGCTTGTGGGTCTAAATTTTCTTCATCTGTGGTTATGGTGGAGATATACTCGTMTGGGAAGTCGAACTTCATTGCTTCATAGTYGTTTATGGGTTGTTGGGCTAGGTAGTCAGCTAGAGCACTCCCCTTAATTGCCTTTTGAGTTACATAGACAATATCGTACTCGGATAAGAGTACTTGCCATCTTGCAATTCTACCCGAGAGAGATGGCTTTTCAAAAATGTACTTTATGGGGTCCATTTTTGAGATGAGCCATGTCGTATAATACAACATATATTGTCTAAGACGATGGGCAGCCCAAGCTAGAGCACAACAAGTCTTTTCTACKGGAGAGTATYTAGTCTCGCAATCGGTGAACTTCTTACTTAAGTAGTATATGGCCTGCTCCTTCCTGCCTGAATCATCATGCTGCCCCAGCACACATCCCATGGAGTTTTCCGTCATCGTGAGATATAAAATGAGGGGTCGACCTGAAGTTGGTGGCACAAGAATTGGAGGACTCTGCTAATATTGCTTAATCTTGTCAAATGCTACTTGGCAATCCTCGCCCCATATCCCGTCGTTGTTCTTGCGAAGCAATTTGAAAATGGGCTCGCAAGTTGCCGTCAGGTGGGAAATGAATCTCGCGATGTAATTGAGTCGTCCTAAGAATCCTCTGACTTCTTTTTATGTTTTGGGAGGTGACATCTCTAGAATTGCTTTGACTTTATCAGGATCGACTTTAATGCCTTCCTGGCCTACTACAAAGCCGAGAAGTTTCCCAGAGGTTACCCCAAATGTGCACTTATTGGGATTGAGTTTTAGCTGGAATTTCCTCAATCGCTCAAATAGCTTTCTTAGGACAAGTGTATGCTCTTCTCCTTGCCTTGACTTGGCGATCATATCATCTACATAAACCTCAATTTCTTTGTGCATCAAGTCATGAAATAGGGTAACCATAGCACGCTGGTAGGTTGCCCCAGCGTTCTTTAGCCCAAATGACATAACTTTATAGCAAAAGGTGCCCCATAGTGTAATGAATGTGGTTTTTTCACGATCTTCAGGTGCCATCTTGATCCGGTTGTATCCTGAGAATCCATCCATAAAAGAGAAAGTAGAGAAACCGGCAGTATTGTCTACCAACACATCAATATGAGGAAGCGGGAAGTTGTCTTTTGGACTCGCACGATTCAAATCCCTGTAGTCCACACACATTCGTACTTGTCCATTTTTCTTCGGTACTGGGACTATGTTTGCAACCCACTCTGGATAATTGGATACTGTAAGGAAACCAGCATCAATTTGTTTCCTTACTTCGTCCTTTACTTTGATTAACATATCTGGTCTCATTTTCCGTAATTTCTGTCTCACAGGCTTGCACTCTGGGTTGATTGGCAACTTGTGGACCACAATGTCTGTGTCTAAACTAGGCATGTCTTGATAAGACCAAGCAAATACATCAGCAAACTCATGAAGTAATTCTATTAACTTCTTACGACTTTCTAAAGACATGTTCGTGCCAATTTTTACTTCTTTGACCTCGGCTTGCGATCCCAAGTTAACTATCTCAGTTGACTCCCCATGGGGTCCCAACGTCTTTTCTTCTTCTTCCAACATTCTTAACAACTCAG